ACACAAGTCTCAGTAAGTTTACTGCCATTCCCTTAAGTCCTCCAAGACCAGAATGTAAGATATTGTTTTTGTTGTTGATCTCATATCTTATATAACAGACTCTCGTCATACAAACCTGTTTTTTTTTTTTTCTTGACTGCTGAAAATCCTCGTATTCAAGGGTTGGAACTGTGATTTTTATTTCCAAGCATAAGACATATTTATTGATTGGGTAGTATTTCTACTCTGGCTGCATTTTTGGATGCAGAGCAGTTGTGGTTTTGTTGCTCTTGTGAGTGACAGCACAGTCAGTATTTGTGAGCCCTCTAGAGTTTGGGGGCTCAACTGCAACCTGCATGTCTGAAAGCTGTGTTACTGTAGATATCATGAAATGTTTGGCATAACATCAAACACAAGGATGTTATTTTTAAAAAAATGAACAAATAATAATAAAATAAAAAAACAGATTTACTGGCTTAAAAATACCCAGAGAAAAAAAAAAGAAGCCAAATATAAATGATGGATGGAATTATTTGCTAACCATGGATGCACTGAAACAGTCACGTCAGCTGATGACATAATGAGGCTTTTAATCAAGCCAGCAAATCATGACTTGTACATTTATCATTATTAGCTTCTTTTTTTTTCAATTTGTGGACAAAAATGTCCTCTGTTGTCTCTCTCAAGGACTCTTTAGCAGCTGTTGGTCGACACAGTGATCGATATTAGCTGTGAAGTTTCTGCTGTGGGACAGTCTCTAATCTGTGGACCAGACATGAGTGGAAATTATGCAGCTTCACTTGTTTCACTTAAGCTGTCAGTCAACATGTGCACCTGGGTCTTTCTCCCAGTACAACTATAACAGGGATGTTATCAATACGAGCTGTCACTGTGGTGGATAAACATAATGCACAGTAACCAAGCTCACATTATCAGACACAGTACATGACTGTGATACAGTACATCATAGTAAACACTTGGATTGTCCCATGACTGGAAAGAAACCAAAGGAATTTGTTGATACATATTTAGCTTTTGTATCACCTGTTATCTCCCCTTCCTTTATCCATCTCAATGGCTGCCAGGATTTTGGGTGTCGGACCTGTTCCACTTCCTTCTGAGCCCAACACACAGGCGCATACGGCTGGCAGATTGTACAGCTACAGCAGGGTCCCACGCAGCCAAATTATTTTTTAATGGTATAAAAGATTCCCATGGCGTGTTTCAGCCACCTCTTTGCCAAACTGACTGTAAACCCCAAAGCAATAAATATCCTGAAAGCAGGGTCGGGAATTTACTGCACCTGTAGTAACCACTGCACCGTCTTAATAAGCAACAGATGCCGGAGTGATTGCATGGAGGCCGAAACACATGCACTGAAAGAAGGGAATTCTTTGTTGGGTACAGTTTCATCACCTGAGCAAAGCTGCTTCAACTCCGTCGCTCAGGGGCTCTCATTCATTTTGATCAGCAGGTAACAGGGCCGGAATTAAAAACAATTTGGATTTAGTGTCACAGTGACCCGGCTGTCGATTACCGGACCGGAAATAGCTGTCATGAGTGGTTATCCTTGATGCATGTGGCTGCAGGGAGAACACGCTGTAATACTTGACCAATCTTTAAAACGTAATGCGCAAAAATAATAATAATGTCGCCGACTTTCTGCAATACAATCCTCCATACCAATTTAAACTGTTTGGGGAATTTTATTCTGTCACTCAATCACCAATTAAAAGATTAAATAGTGACTGTTCCCCTTTTAAAGACCCTTGAATGACCTCATATTGGAGGCATTCAGAAATATTTATTGCCTTTTCAGTTCTGAGGTCTGCTAATATGCTGCGTGCAGTATGAACCAGATAAACTCCAAAGCTAGGGATCAATTTAATAAGATACTGTAATTATATTATGTGAAGAAAGATGAGTTCAGTGAGCCTAAATGAAGCCTGAATAAATGGTTTTCATTCCTCCTTCTGCTTGTTTCTAAGAAACATGCAGCAGTGTGGACAAAGGGGCTATTATCATTAGTTAATCTTTGCTCAAAGCTATTTAATAAAGCATCTGGGTATGCATGCAAGTATGTCTGTCTGTTTGGGTGTATATGTGTGCACACAGGCTTTTTAGCTGTGTGAGTATTATATCAGCTGTACAGCATGATTGTCAGGCTGTCTTTATATTTTAAGATGAATATTTTTTGCTATTATCGTCATTACTACAAGTAGTAGCAGCAGCAGCAGCGGTTTAATGCTTCTGCGCACGAATGCAACAGTGTGCACATGTCCACGGTTCTCTGCATTCACATTCCAGCTTTGTTTTGGCAGGGGAAAGGTTAATGTTTAACAGCATGAATGGTTCACCCACTAACGTGTGAACAAAGCACAATGGCTGCACTGTATAGGCTCCTATTTATTCAGAGTCACTTCCTCCCTTAATAGTCGGCTCTACTTTCCTCACAGAGGAAAAAAGTGGGTCAAGGAAAAGTCATGTTTGAGGTAATTCACTCTAGGGGACCGCGTTTCTGATCATTAGATGACATTGGTTAACCCTGAGAGTGAGGTCATTTTCGAGTCAACGTTACACCCAGAACCCGGCCCGACTGGTAGCGTGTCTGTGCGTTTTACAGTACACCGAGGATAAATCAGAGAGGGAGGGTATCAATGGGAAGGTTGAAAGGAAAGAAGCATGAAAAGACAGTATTGTTTACATAAAAAAAAGAAAGAGGCTTTTTTTTTTTTGGTGACCTTGTGGATTCTACTTTCATCAGATGTTGGTTTCAGCTGATGCACTCTGAAGGAGCTCACTCTTACGGACTTTCTGCTTTGATGCAAGCGAACAAAAGATCCGCAACGAAGACACTCGGATAGTTCATTCTTGAGCTTCATGCACAAAGAACTGAACCAGAGAGGAATGCAAACACATTGTTCCCCCCACCTACTGCAATTACTTGTGATGAGTGTGTAAGGATTAAGCAGGATATTAGCAGACTTTTGGGATTAAGTATGATTTCATCCATGAAGATCTCTGGAATATCTTTTCATCAGGACCTAATGCTTTCATGACAAGGCCTTTTTTTTTCTTTTCTTCTTTTTTCGCTTTTCTCTTCAGCAACTGATTTTTATTTCCCTTTGCCCCTTAATTACGGTCTTAATAAAGAGACATTCCAGTCAACATTTAATAGATTTTCCCAAGTAATTATCTTATTATAGCTGTATTTGTAATGATACAAGCACATATTTGATCACTTCTAGTGATGCTGTGTGTGCTATAACACATGCACCTGGAATCATATATTAAAGAATCACATTTTTTTTCCCACATTATTCATGGTGTACTTTATGAGCCTGTATGTTAGAGCCCACAGTAATGGGGATGTAATTAAAAACATGTCATTGTGATGGAGGGGCAAGCTTTAATAGGAGAAAAGCTATCAGCTTGTTTCCTCCTGAGCCAGCAAATGGATATAAAAACAGTCAATCAAGCCTAGTGTGTTGCCACTACCACAGCTTAAAAGAGCAATAAGCCGGTTTTTTTTTTTTTTTTTTCAATAAAGACGTCAAAGATACACTGACTGCAGAACAAAAAAAAATTTATTTAGATTTATCTGAATAGTATAATGCTATTATTAACCTCGCGAAAATGTTCCAAAGCACCAAATGCAGCTTCGTCTTAATCCAGCGCTTCATAAAATATCTATTTCTGCCTTTAAGGAATGCATGCATGATTTTGCAAAGAATTTGATTTGCCCAAAGAACGTGGCCCTCATTTGGTGAGACAGTTTGTACTTGAGGCCAAACTCTTCGCACGGTTATGAAAGAGCCTGTTCATTGAAGAAGTCATGCCTGGGCTTTGTTTTTCTTTGGTATCTGGCACATCGTCATTCAGTCTGTTCCCACCTGGCTCACCACCAAGCCCAAATGAAAACATCAAAGCAATATCTGCAATGTGAAGATGTGAAGTAATCGGGTTTTTTTTGTTTGCTTGTTTTTTGTGTGTGTGCATTTTTGGGGTTTTTTTTGTCCTACGTGTCATTGTTTTTAAGATGTATTTATTTTTCTCCTCACTGTAATTTGATAGACAGCATCAGCGGGATTGCCAGGGTACAAATTCTGAATGACATCAAGTTTTGGATTGGACAGCTTGGATAATTAACTAGCAAAAACAAAAAACCACAAAATGTAAAAGAAAATCTAAAAAGAGGTCCCACTCATGTCATAGCAAGGTTTAGTGTTGATAGATGATCTGTTATAAAAATGATGAATGAATTCTGAAAAGTATAAAATTGATAACATTTGACTTATTTGAAAAATGATGTGCATTTGTGTAACAGATGACCTTTTGTTAAACCTTTGAGCTGAGCAGTGATTATCCAGTCATGTAACGAGGTGCAGCAGGCCTGTTGGGCTTTGGATTTCTCCATGTGTTGTAGTTGTGGGCATAACTCTGTAGAGTGAACTATATTCTGCATGCGTCATGACTTTGTTTGCCAAACACAAAAGCTAGTTCTCTTGCCAGAAGCCTTTTCCCCTGTATTTATCTGTATTGCTTGTCAAAAAGCTCGGCCGCCAAACAAGGTTATGTTGGAATGAGACAGAAATCAGGACTTGCAACACAAGAACAATGCGGTTACCTTATTTCCATATCTTCTACGTGGATTATCAACAAATGACACTGATGCCCTGTGACGTGCAGCTTCGGCCTCAGTTTTACGGCACAACATTGCAATTTTTAGCTAAATTAGCTTGCAAATGAGCTGATGGAGTCTGCCAGCAACAGTTGACATTTCAGCCCACTTTTGACCTCTGAAAGCAAGGACATGTTGTTTCAGCAGAACTTTGAGTGGAAATTTGCGAATGTTATCGTTATAAATCACGTATGTGTCATGCGGAAAGCTCGACAAGAAAAGCAAAAGGGGTGTAAACTGTCAGTTCTCTTCAGATTGTTTCTGACTTCAAATCATCACAAGTGGAACTGCCAGTTAAAAAGAAACCCAGCTGAAGTTGCTTTCCCCCACTTATTTTCAGCGACCACTCCTTCAGACAGATTTGTTGTGCTTGGAACCATCCTGAGAAAACTCCAAGTTGCTGTGGAGCTGTTATTTGACATTACACAGGGTGAGCACATGGTACAAAATTAACCTGCCTGTGTTTTTGTTTCTATTGCGAGCAATAACCTCAGAATGAATCAGGCCACTGGGTATGAATCACATCCTTAAATCAAATTTATGGCAAAATAAAGAGTAATCAAGCTCAAAATGTGTTTCTAGCATAAATTTGCCCATACTGCACCGGGGAAATGTTTACTCATCCGTTTAATGCACTAACAAACCTCCAGCCGCACGCTCCTTCTCCTGAGCACATTAAACCCCTGCTGGGTCGTCTGACGGCGAGATGTATTGGATTGCTTTATGAATACTGAATGTTCATCAGTGGCGCAAAAAATAAATACTACTTAAACAAATTGAGGACAGACTGAGGATCTAATGAATGTATCAAAATAGTCTCTGACAAAGAAACCCATCAAAAAATTCAACACAGCATGTTGATACTAATATTGTGCCAGTGTGGAAATTAGTATATTGTTCTGCCGGCGTTTTGTGTTATGTGAGACAAGCTCTACTTTAGTGTTGATGAGTGCTGATGTAGAATTTTAAAGAGTAATCATATAAAAAAATCTGTGCAGGGTTTTCTCGGCCTCTGTATTGCATTTCAACTCATTTCACTTTCCACCGCTCCGGAGCACAGCTTTATTTTTTTATGTGACAACCTGGAAGATAAGCTGCAGCCGCAATTACAGCCGCAAGATTTTGACATTTTGTGAAATGTCCTTATTTGCCGTCATACCGAGAGTCATGCGAGAAGAACCGTATCGATTTCAGCTCTACATTCAATGCATAGCTTCGTGGCAGGTTAAGCCAAGCTTAGCTCAAAGACTGGAGGTCAGGGGGAAAACAGCTAATAGAGCTTCACCAAAAGTGCATTCCGCCCGCTCGAAAGCTGCTTCAAACACTCGCTTCGCATGCAAACATGCTGCAACAGAATGATCACAAATTGGCACAGTTTCATCATAAGTAGAAGCCTTTGATAATTTGACTTTTATATCTACCTGACACTTGATGAATAGCCATAACCATACCTCGAAATAAGTTGCTTTAAGGCATACTTTGTCCACTTTAAATCAAGACTAGCTGTTTGTTCCTGCTTGTCTTATGCTGTAATTATCTAATATTTTAGGCTGTGTCCCAACGATGATGAACAAGACAAATGTTCATGATAATTATACTAAGGCATTTCAAGTTATTCTGAAATGTATTAATTGATTCTACAAGTGTCCTCAGTCGGCTGCAAATGATTTTGCTGGTTAAAGCTGAAAAATTGTTTAAATTCTCCATCCTTGTGTACTTACCTTGATCTGTTACTCTGACCCTATGATTTAAAAATGGGACTTACAATCAGCGTGGCTTCAGGGTGTTGTCATTGCAACGATTGTGAGGCTCAGGTGGAGGCATCCTGGCACTTTTTCATCTGAAGGTGACGGGGGTCTGATGGAGCCCTGGGGGACTCGGTGACAAGCTTTGTCAATGTGATTAAAACCCTGCAGCCTCTGCTCCCAGTGGGCATTAATGGGTTTATGAGAGGAGCTTGGTGAAAACCACCAGACCGTGCTCCCTTTAAAGTACTCTGCACTCAGCTACTGTTTTTGACTCATGGAACCGGGACAACAACATGTAGTTAAACACAAAACCAAGTGCAAATACAAACAATATCACCATAATCAGGCTCATGGTTGCAGATCACAAACTTTGGTCTTGTTAAGTTTCTTCTGGGAGGCTCATTTTAATGTGCATCTACTTATTTTTAACCTGTTTGAATTGTTGCTGACAGACTGTCCCATTCCAGCCTTTTACATTCTGTCATTTCAGTTCAGCTGCAGGTTCAGGTTTCCTTTCATGCGACTGTGTTTGTCTATTACCTGTGATTTCTATGATGCAATCGGTGAACAAGGTAATATGTTTGAGTCGGAGCCAGGGTTTGCGGTTTCATCTAACAAAGCTGTCTGGTGAATAAAGAGTAAATAATATAATAAGGGAGTGTCAATCTAAGTTTTTTTTTTTTTTTTTTGTAAGTCTCACCTTTCATATTAGACACCTGGTCAATATTTCATTCTGTTAATTCCCCTTTTCAAAATGCTAGACATGTTTATGTTTCAAACCATATCCTGAATGTCTTGTCCAAACCAAGCCCTTGCCAGTTTAATGATACATGTGTGTTTATCTGTGTTATGGAACTGATTTGGTTGCAATCTATACATAACAGGCGACACTAAACATTCTGTTTTCTGTTTTAGGAGTGCAAGATTCCCATCAGGAGAAAGTCATATCAGTGTCTGGAGAAGGAATGGTCCACAGTCCAGACTTCCCACACACTTATCCCAGGAATACCATGTTAGTCTGGAGACTAGTGGCAACCAGCAACATGAGGATCCAGCTCACCTTTGATGAGAGATTTGGTTTGGAGGACCCAGAAGATGGGATATGCAAGTAAGACTGTGCTCATGGAATATATACATATTTTCCATTGTAAAGGATCAGTGCTTTGTGGTGGTTTTTGCAAGAGAAGTGTGCAAATGTGACGTAGATCTGTCAGTATAGTTTTATTTGTCTGTGAATTGGGCAAAATTAACGCTGATTTGACAAACATGCCAACCTCCTAAAACATCCTTAGTGCTACTGTTTATGAATTTGACCTCTGAACATGAGGAAAAGTTGTTTTACATCGTCTATTAACACTTCATGAAAAGGATAACCTTCTGCAGCAGTTAGAGGCAGCAGCGTGGACAGTCTTTCATAAGGATCTTCCTCTGCTTGCTTGACCAGCTCGCATCAGATGAGGGGTTCCCCAGTTGGCATGCCAGAAACATGTTGGTCTGAGGTGAAGACGTGTCCTGTCTGCTTTGTCGTCCATCTTTAAAGATTTAAAGTCAGAGTGTGGCCATTTGTGAAATTGCCTTTGGTCTGCTGTGGCAGCTCGTGAATATTGAAAACCTCGCAGCAGAGTGATTTGTTTCACCCAAGACACCATGATGACGTGATCCAGGCCAACATATTTTACTAGACTTGGTCGATATTTTTAGCTGCTTATGGAACAGTTCGAAAGACACGCTCCGCACCCTCCGAATGGCAACACATAAACACAAACACACACATCTGCATACAGTACATCCTCTCTTTTATAGAGGAGCCCACTTTCAATTAGTGCCAGAGTTTGCCATTCAATTTAAACGGGAATCTCGAACCTCAACAATCGATTTATCCTCCATGCATTATGCTCAGTACCTAGCTGTCAATATATCACAGCTGAGTGGTTAACATATTGGAGCCCAATCAGGGAAAGGTGGAGGAAAGCTGGGGGAGGGTAACCTCACAAGTCATTCCTGGAGAGCCCCCTAATGGATGACAGGGTGAATGACAACTGCACTTTTCTACAGAGTTGTGTAGACGTTTGATATGATGTCACCCGATTACCTTTCATCTTATGAGATTGTAACAGAACATGTTGGGAAATGAAACTAATATGCGGCTATAAATGAATGTTTCTCTGCACCAGTGACAGTTCCTGGAAATCCCATTTCATTGATCAACGAGGTGTTTGTGATCCTGGCTCTGATTTTGGCCCAGCGTCTTGATAAAGATAGATTGGAGCTAATTCAGTTGCCTAAAGTGTTGTAATGTGCCATCCTGGATTCATTCACTGTCGACTGAAAAACTGGAAGAAGAAAAAAAAGCGAGCAGAGGTAATTTAAGCCCCCCAGCACACCTGTGGTGGGCCGGGAGCATGTTGACGAATGAGGTTAGCGTTTGCTGTCAAAACCCTGCGAGGGAAAGTTGCACAGTGGGGCAGGGTGCAGATTGACAACTTTTGTGCCGTCCTGCCTTCACAAGACTGCACTCGTCAGCGACCTCAAAGAAAGGGGCAAAAGACAATAACAACATCCTTTTCCAGGGTCATACGAGTCATCACCACATCTATTGCTTCAGCTAGAGCATTTTTTTTTCTTCACCCGCCCCCCTCCCAATCCTTCCCAAACCCCTGACCAAAGCCCAACAGGTTTTGATCAGATCCCAAGATACACACTCTTGGCAGGGTTGGCAGACAGATGAATGCAGCACGCAATCGCAAGCAGAGACATATATTCACAAGCCTATCTACTTGTCTTTTCTCTTACCCTCTCTGCTTTTTTCTCCCTCTCTAACACGTACCCTCTCTTTCTGTCCCACACACACACACACACTCACTCGCATGCATAAGCCTCTGGCCTAGTCTGCCACTTTATCTTTCATGTGTGTTTAAAAATTTATTCACAAAATTTCCCCTTAGACCTTTATTCTGCTGGTGTTACAGCAAAAAAAACTGTTCATACACAATGCTATTGATACATCGCTCTTATCCTTGTGTCACTGCACAATGTGATGCAAATAAACCCGACTGTAATGTCCTGTCCGGCGATTCGCGGCAACGGCTGGGGATGCAACAACGGTGGAGAGAGACGTGTTCAGCTCTGGTAGTAAGCCCGAAGCGAGAAGTCTTTGCTGAGATGAGAAGGAGGCTGTATAGTTGAGATGCTCATCTGCTATTCTGTTTGTCTGTGGCACGATGAAAAGCATTCTTACCAAATCCACTAGAGGAGAGGCATATTGGAGAGGGATTGGTCTTGCTGCTGGTTGGCATGGCAGCAGAGTCGTGCTTGACGGCTCCCAGACAGGACTGTTCTCAGAAAGGCATTTATGCTCTCTGTCTTCAGTCTGAAAGGAGAGGACTGGAGAAAAAAAAAAACAGTGTTTGTGTTGCTAATCTGCATCAGCTCCGTGGCAGATATTGTATCTATTAATAATGTACAAGGAGAAAACTATGTAGGAGAAAGCTTTGTGAATATTAAAACACAATTTCCTCGCAGTGTGCTGAAAGGTGCCCCTCTCTGGTAGTGTTGTAACGTACACAGGATTCCTTTGTTGTTCTCGTCCTGTTCACTGTGCCTGTTCATACAGTTTGGTATGTATGTCAGTGCATTTGTAAATCTGAGAAACCGCTGTTCAACATGGTGATTCTGAACACATGGCGATGTGTAATGATCAGGGCATCCTGCATTATTGATGAGCCATCTGTCAAAGCTGTGGAACTGTCTGAGGGATGACTTTTAGAGACTAGAGCTCCTCTCTTCACTGACCTCCATCGAGATCAGGCAGAAAGAAGCCAAACTGATAATTTATCCTTTTCCAAAACCATTTCAAGGTTCCAGTTTAAATAAATGCTTTACAGTTCACGCAGCTGACAAACATTTGCATATTTAAGCTGTGACTATATGGTTTTCCAAAAGGACAGTTTCGGTTTTACCTTTCCCAATAAGTTTATTTGTGCAGATAACAAGCTTCCTGTATGCATTTCCGAATCAAAAGTAACAGAGTCAATAAATTTATTGACACCCCCCCACCCCTTCAGTTTATTTAACATCACAGAAAATCCATTTTTAGCGTCGCTCATGTCCCTCCATGTTGTTTTATTGAAACCAGCTTGAACTGAATCTGTCAAGCCTGTGCAAAATGTAAACAATGTCCTTGAAATCCAAATATCCGAATTGGCAGCACTGAATGAGAGGTTAGCATGCCTGTTGACGCAAATGGCAAAGTGATTAATCCCAGACTGCGAAGAGTCGGTGAAACAAGGCTTTATTGAATGCACTGCAGCCACTGGTTGCACACAGGTATAAATAATAAAGGCTGAACTCCTGAACTGCATGTCTTAAGTGCTGAGGTTGGTCAATGTTAGCATTGGCACACCAAAGGAGCCTGGAACACAGCCATATGCTTCTGCACTTCATAGTGTTTACTGGTATTTTGGATTGGCAGGATAGCCAGTTGAGAGGCTTCTGGTCTTTTTTTTTTTTAGTTATATTTTTTAACTAAACTGAAACTGAAATTTACACGATAATTTGTGTTGAGTTTGTTTACTGCTCTTAATACGTTGTATATTATATTATAATTTTCATAGTATTATTTTTAAAATGTGTAACATTTTTGAAACCATCAGTTGCTCCTGCAGTTTCAATTAGTTTTTATGTTTACAGCCAAAATATGAAACACTTTATGGTGTAAACTGTTAAAATCCCATCACATGGATAATTTCTTTGCTCAATGAAAGAAAAAATTGAAATTGAATTCTCTTTACTCATAAAGGGCTAAACAAATAACACAATGTATATAATTGCATAACTACTTTGCAAAATATTGCTATAAATATATTCATATGGGATCTTTTTGCGTGGAGTTTGCATGTTCTCCCTGTTTCTCTCCGGGTTCTCCAGCTTCCTCCCCCACAGTTCAAAAACATGTTGAAGTTAATTGATCATTTTTAATTATAATAGGTGTGAATGTGAGTGTGCTTGGTTGTCTGTCTCTAAGTGTAGCCCTGTGATAGACTGGTGACCTGTCCCCTGCCTTCACCCGAAGTCAGCTGGGATAGACTCCAGCCCCCCTTGACCCCAGTGAGGATTAACCGGTGCATAGATAACGGATGGATGAATATTCATACTTACATTCATACGGTGGAGTGGTGGTTAGCACTGTCACCTCATAGCTAGAAGGTCCTAAGTTCAAATCTTGTGCTGAGATCTTTCTGTGTGGAGTTTGCATGTTCTCCCTGTGCAGTGTGGGTTTTCACCAGGTGCTCCGGCTTCATGCTGAGGTTAATTGGAGATTCTAAGTTGTCTGTAGGTGTGAGTGTGACTGTGTTGTCTATCTCTCCATGTGGCCCTGTGACAGACTGGTGAACCCTGCCTTCGCCTTGAGTCAGATGAGATAAGCTCCAGACCCCCTGCGACCCTACAGAGGATGTATAGAAAATGGATGGATGTGTATTCATACTTTCTGTTCACATAGACCTCTATGTGGCATACAGCCATAGTGGCGTAATTATAACGATTTACAAGGAGAGTTTTCAACCTTACCTCTGCAAATATGTTTGGGAGTCTAAGTCAAGAGGTTCGGCTCTCTTGCACAGTCAACATACAATCTAATGTGCCCAAAGTTTAATTAAAAACTATATTTCAATAGCGACAAGTACCACCGGTGTAATAGTATTGCCAAAAGGCTGCATCAGTGGCCATTAATTGTTAGATGGCAAGAACAGCTCCTTATGCTGCGCTGTCAACCACTGGCAATTTCCAGTTTATTTTTATTCATTTAATACAGGCAGTAAATAACAGAGACACATCTCATCTCTCACAGCTGAGAAACTGTAACCTGCTGTTCAAGATATTTATTTATTATTTCTTTCTTTAATGAGGTCAAGGCTTTATTGCGCTCGGAGGCTTTATTGATATTAACAATCTCACCTTCAGAAGGGCATGGCTTGTGCCAATGAGAGAGCACCATGCATGGTGCAAGCGTTAATGGTGATGACAGACAGATAACAAGCAAAAATGCATTAAAATGAACCAACATCATGTTTTTAAGTTCACATTTAACATATCAGAGCTCAGACATTGCCAGTCACAGCTAAACCCTGTGGTCTGGAGTGGCCCCATTGACAAATGACTAATGGAGTCTTTTCCTGCCTTTTTTTTCTTTCTCTCTTTACCAGGTATGACTTTGTGGAAATAGAGGATCCAACTGAGAAGACTCTCCTGGGTCGCTGGTGTGGGTCACAGTCGGTACCAGCTAGTCACATTTCCAAAGGCAGCCAGATCAGCATCCGCTTCATCTCTGATGAGTATTTCCCCTCTGAGCCGGGATTCTGCATCCGCTACTCCCTTCTGCCTGTGGTACGTACATGAGTTGAAAAATGTGCATTGTGAGAAGCTGAACACTGAGCTCAAAGCGCTTCTCTGCTTCTATCTCCAACCAGGGAATTCACATGGCAGTAGGCAATGTCTCCCCATGTAAGCACAATTAGAATAATTTGCTTGTTGCATAACATGGTGCCTTAATTTGCAATCATCCATTTCTGCTTATGTGTACCCAAGGTTTTAAGCATGGTTGGGGAGAAATTATGTTTAAGCGCTTTGGAACATCTGGCACCTGTACTGTCATTTATTTTAGTTATGAAGATGCACACAAGCCGAAGCGGCACGTACGCTTCTGCACAGACAAAAACAAAATGTTCACAATATCAGCAATGACAGCAGAGAGTACAATTAAGTTGCCAAACTAAAGTATAGTTACACAACCTGAGTTTGTTCTGCAAGAGATAACATGAGAATTGTCTGCAATGGACCCCGATATAGTTCCAATATGTGAAACAGTACGCAACCAATTGTGTTGTTGCAATGCTTCAATTTTAAATAATCAAACTTATATGTTCTATATTACTGTTCTATATAAAAGTATATGGCCTCTGAACCTTTACTGTATCTATAGATCCAGCCAGATGAGTCTGACAGATGAGGTGTTGCAATGTCACTGATGGTGTTGCATGAGACTGAAATGGACAAAATAAGTGGCTTCACATTCACAAAGTGGTCCTCTGACCCGTGGGGAGATTCACTCAAGCCCCCCGAAATGAAAGTAGGGATGAAGTGCTTTCTGCGCTGCCTCGTCTGCTTCTCTGTTCTCATTATTACATCATACACACATCAAAAGTGGTATCTTTTTTATGTGTTTTAACAATATCCCACTTCACAAAAGTACACGTTCTTTTACTCTGTACTTACTCCTGAAATATACTTCTGGCAAAAACACAGTCACTCTTTGTTTCTGTTCTTCCTTGTTTCGCTCGTCTTTGTTTGCAACAGAGACTATAATCACTAGTTCCGTCATTACCTAATCTTTGTTTCCATTCACTTTTTAAACTTTTGGCAGACATTTATCCAGTATAATTTAGGGTGGATGCATAAGCTGAAACTCCAGATCTAGGAGTCAGTCAACAGCTGTAGCCAGGTTTATGTCTTGACTGATCACGTGTGACAGCATACTGTGAAAAAGGTACCAGTGGTTAGAGTTAAAAGTTTAGCCCGGTTCATTCTGACCTGATGTATTTCCCTTTAATGTGGCCGTTGTGACTCAGCGGGTCAGGCTAACATTGCACTCTCCGGTAATGTGGTAGAGATTTAAGAAAACGAGGAGTCACTGAAAACAATAAAGTCAGAGATACCGATGGTTAAACGTCATCTAACTGACTGGCCAAAAATAAGTGAGAGGGGGGGAAAGAGGTATAAAGAGGAACCAATAGAGAAAGAATGAAGCAAGCAAACACATGTGAGCAATCGAAAGTCAGCGAGTTAAAAAATAACTTGGGTTGATTTAGGGGAAACAGCAGGAAAGAAGAACTTTAATGTCAAACTTACAATAAACATTTGGTTTAGGTTACGGGGCCATCAAGGGTAAAATAAATAGTTACAACTGGTTTGAAATGGGAAACAACCATTTGGCATGTGTGTTAAAATCCAGTGTTTTATCAACCTATCCATCCAGCCCGAGCTCCTCTCTGTAGCTCTGTAGTTTGACTCACTGAGTGTAGATTGCAGGTGGAAGCTTGATGTTGCCTGTACATTTCACACCACTTTCTCCTCCCTTTCCAATCCCCACCACATTCACAAGTGTTGCCTTTTTAATAATCTTCTTCACTACGAGAACAACAGCTCACAAGCAGCTAAAAGGTTTGAATCAACAAAGCAGCCCTGCTAGTTTTATTTTTGGTTGTTGTTTTGTTGTTTTTTAGATGAATTATTCATTTTAGTGCTTTCCTACGGTGGCCCAGAAGTGTCACAACAAAACAAAAGCCACAACACAATAAGCCACAACACAACCAAATTAACCACAACACTACAAAATTAGCCACAACACAACATAATAAGCCGCAACACAACACAACGGCTGCAACGGAAGTTGTTTTTTTTTAACCTGGAAGTTATACTGTGACGTGCGCAACCACACGAAGTGGGCAGAAGCCGGAGATCGTTGGAAACAACTCGAAAGTAAGTAAAATACTGATGGCAAATAGTGTCCATTAATCTCGGTATGCGCTATTCAAGCGGTTCTGAACTTTGATTTACAAATATAGAGTCATTGCTTGTTTGACTTGTTAATGCGGACACTTCTGTTGCAAACAACTTCCGTTGCAGCCGTTGTGTTGTGTTGCAGCTTATTTTGTAGTGTTGCGGCTAACTGTGTTGTGTTGCGGCTAATTTTGTAGTGTTGTGGTTAATTTGGTTGTGTTGTGGCTTATTTTGTAGTGTTGTGGTTAATTTGGTTGTGTTGTGGCTTATTGTGTTGTGTTGTGGCTTTTGTTTTGTTGTCACACTTCTGGGCCACCGTACTTTCCCGTCAACCCGTCACTGTTCAAAGTAAACACTGCCGGTGCATTATGTTGCTATCCTCATCAAAGACAACTGTGTCATGGAAATACAAACATGGCAGCACGTTTTTCCTCCAACAGCAGGATGACGATGAGGTGCAGGCAGACCATTCTACACTGTTTCAGCACAAGACAATGGTCTGGCTATGCAACACCTCTCAGCTGCTACATCCACTGGAGGCTGCTGTCACAAAGATATGAAACCACGGAAAATATTTCCAAACTTGCCAATTGCATACACTCATGTTCTATGCATCTCTTCTGTCTGGAAATACTTTGAGTAAATTTACAATAACTTGTCATTCCAATCAATGCTTGTTGCCATTTTTGTGACCAATTTCCTGTCATGATTTTTCAGTAGTGGCTTGTTAGTAATGCGTAACGTTGACTGCGACCAGCGAGCTGGACATCCCCCTACCAGAAAAAGTACAGCTTTTCTAAAGACTTTTGACTGAACCAGTGAAATTATATTGTGCTTCCAGAGCAGCTCTGCTTCAAAAACATGCTTGCATACTGTAACTCCTGTGAAATTCAAATATGTGAGAAAAAAATATGTTTGAACAGACTTCTGTGCCTCTGTACATCCAGCCATCTTTGTCTTTATTCATCCGCCTCCCATTCCTCATTCTCTTTCGCTTTCTCGCCTTTTTTCTTTGCCGATCTCCAGCCCACACACATGCACACAGAATCCCTCCGTCCCCGCTTCATCCCTGACAAAAGCCCAGAGATAAACTAAAGAGACAACTGCCATGTTTTAACCTGTCGTGTTTCAGCTCTGTTCACTTGCTTTAAGTAAACAGCTCTCCTTCTTATTAATCCCTGATGGCCTGCAGCCCAAATAAGAAACTGAGGTTACTGATGGTGCTTTGTATTCACTCTGTAACTTTTCTTTTTGTGCTTCAAAAGCTTTTTCATTCTTTTATTCTTCATCACGTTATTATTGCAATCTTTCATCATCTTTAAAACCCGAAACAACGTCGCTGATAGGTGCACGAACTCACAAAGAATTCACTGACACTCTGAAAACTTACTGAGTGTCATGCTGAGAATCAAAGCCGTGTCTCTTAAAACACAGATAAGCTGAAGTGTAAAGTCACTCGTTACATGTACTTCCTATGATAGCGCCTGCAAATGTTGTAACTACTGAAATTTTCATCAATACACTACATCAGGTTGTGATGTTTGGGCCTTCGGGGAGGTCATCGCTTATCTAACACAGATGAAATAATTGAAAAGACACTATTGCAGAGAATTAATTAATTCCAAAATCCTCATAGTGGTAGGAGCTGTCGTCTAATACCTGATTTTACTCTTTTTTTTTTGAGCAGGAGAGCCAGAAGGGTTGGGTCTTGTTTCATTATTTTTTATAGCCAAGTTCAGCCCATAATCACAAATGTGCCCAAAGGGCTGTATAAGTTGTATAATATACAACACCCTCTATCCTTAGCTGAAATGAGCATTAAAAAACACTCTAATAGCATGTTGAACCTGAAAAATGAAGGCAGAAGTGTCGAGAAAAGCAACAGAGGAGGATTTTGCCTTGATTTTATAATGACAGTGATAAAGGTAGACTAGAAACAAAATGACAATATGAAATATATAAACGACTAACATTTATGAAGACTAGCTTCAGCAAAAGAAGGCAGAGTTCAATGTTGTCTTTAACTATTACTTTCTTAATTCAATTTTTCTGAAATGTGCATGTTTGTTGATCTAATTCTGAAAATAATGTGATCAAAGAATACGTAAAGAAGCCACAACTATGTCTAACAGTCAGTGTCAGCTTTCGGTATTTGACAGTTGTCTCAGTTATCACTGAAAAAATCCTGAGGTTTGACGCCCGGCCTTGTTGAACATTTATGTATATCTGAAATTTGATGAGGGGGTTAAGGTTAGAATTGACCAGATGAAAAACATCACCGGGGGATTTGGAAAAACTGAAGGATTAAATGTTCCCTCTGCGGTCGAGAGAAACGTGCCTTCTTCTTAAATAAACCATTAAAAAGCCCAATTCGCTGCTAAAATGCATTCTCACCGAGCTGAGAACAAAGCTGTCTTTCTTACCTCATGAAAAATTGAAGCTTCGGAGATACACGATCTTGACAGGGCCACCGCATTATAGAACTTTATGCCGCATGCTATAACTTTATAAGATGTGACATTTTGTAGAATGGTTTAGTTTCAAGTGCGAACGCCACATGAAAACGGTGGATATTTGGGAATTACAAGCTTAAATTTCATCCATCCCTCAATAGCAGAATGAAGCTATTCTTCTGTGGTGTTCGAATGCCTCGCCACAAACTGTTTGATGAAACAAGAGACCGAGTTTTTCTTTCATATTCCAACTCTAGAAGGTGCGGAAACCATGAGGGGGGGGAAAAAGGAAGCTTTGGCCTCTGCATGTTCAGGCTGTCTTCCCTTTGAACCTTCCTCTGACAGAGGAGGAGCATGCTAGAACAGCAGCACTCT